CCTCGAAACTGTGCATCATTTGTTCGGCTGTTGATAGCAGAGCAGAGATCGAATGATAGAACGAAAGACCAAGTGATACAAGAAGTTATTAGGTTGTGGTATGAAAATATTTGCTCTAGCATGGCACAATATTTGGGAAGCGCGTGTAAATATTTTGGTGCAAATAATTCATATCCAGAGAAAGCAATTATGGATGTTCTTAGGCTTCGTGTTTGTTACAATAATAAGTTCAAGGAAGCCATAGAACTTCTCCAACACAGCATCATTCCTTGTCAGTCACCAAAATGTATTATTCTTGGCCCTAATGACCTCATTTCTAATAAGATCGAAATTAACCCATTGTTTGAATCTTACCTTGTCGACAGCATTGGATTATTTCTTAAAAACGAAAGAGGAAAAACTATGGTGGACGTCTTTGTTGATAACATTATCATGCCCAATAACATTTCATCAATTGGCAATGAATTTGATGCGACCTTTATTACGGCAATCATCCAGAAACGTGGGCTTTATGTACGAGAAGAACTTAATAGATGGAAAAATGGTCAACAATTTGATCTTCCTTCATGGATCACTCCCACGATGAAGTTTATTACAACTTCAAATCTATCAGGAGGGGTTCCTATTGCCAAATATGTTAACAATATGAACTACTGTTCTTATGCAATTCAACCAGACATATACTCAGGATCAGACGTGGTAATCTCTTTCATGGATAATATGCAAAATGTGGTGCTATTATCGGCAAGTTGCACAGTTTCTAGTAGTCCCATTAAGCGAGGTAAAGTCAAAGAACAGTTAATCAAATCATGTATGAAGTTTCAGTACATGGAATGCTCAAGAAAGAGGAAAAATGAAGTGGAATTTTCTTATAAAAAACCAAAACCAAAGCGCCTCCAAATTGGTCTTGGTAATATTTTACCAGTCATCACTAATAAAGAGGACCTAGACGGAGAGGATAGCTTAGGAGAGGAGGAGGAAAAGTATGACCAAGATTTAAATTATGATGATTTGGATTATGATTTAGACTACACCAAAAACATCAGGAATTATCGGATATCCAAGGTCGACGAGCATGCAGAGTATCACGAGCAAATCAAAACTTACTCAAATAATCGAAAACATATTTATATTTCAGTGGAGATTCCTCATAGGTCTAGCAAAAGATCAGAATTGTTTCGGTTCAAT